GTTCCACTGCTTGGCTCTCTTCATGGAGGGAATTTCTTCTTACCTCCTGTCTCATCTTCCCACTGACATGGCCAAGAGCTCAGCTCTCTTTTTAATGACCTCCCCATAGGTACTGGCAAGCTGCTGTCAGGTCCTCCTGAACCTTGTTATCCTCAGGCTGAACATACTGAGGTCCTTCAGCCTGTCTGCACCAGGCCAGTGTTCCAGCCTCCTGACCATTGGGGATCATCCCTTCTGCAGTTACCAACTTCTCTCCTATACTGGTGGCTCAGAGCTAGACAGCAACTACATGTGACAGGGTGAATGCTGCTTGGAGAGAGAGAGAATTACTTCCCATGATTATTGGCTTGGCTTCAGGTAATTCAGCCAGGGATGCTCTTTAAGTTTTGTGCTACCAGGGCACACTGACTGAGAGGTAAAAGGCACCTATATGCTTTTTTCCTAGTGTGAAATACAGCTCCCTCACAACAGTTGGGAATAATTCTATATTATATAAATAGAATCCTGTATATTAAAATGCAGCTTTTAATGTGCACACACACAAATTGAAGTTGTAGAAAATGGTTGAATCTTGTTTGTAAGAGGGAAGAAACATCTTACACATTTTGAGCATAGTCTTTCTTAGCATGAAAGTGTAGCTCTTACACTTGCAATAGAAGACGATGCTTTCCCAGTCTGAGGCATGAATGTTAGTGCCAGAGTTTTGTAGATCATCCACATGGACAAATTAGTGTCAGCTGATCCTTAGTAATTATCAGTGGGATAATTACAATGTAATATGACCTAGTTCAGACTGTTAATGCTGGCCCCTTCTCTGCTGGCCCCTTAAAGGCACATACTATGCAGGTAATCTCAAGCTCCATTTTCACAGGAGTTGGGAGCTGTGTGGTACAGATCCAAAAGTATGATGTGGATTATACTTGGATACCTTTGGATGAGAGATCCAAAGGTATGACACTGTGGAGCAGTTGCTTACAAGAGACATGAGAATGTAGTGCAGCGTCTTCAGAAGCAGCCTTTCCTAGTGTGTCTGGTGTGTAATCTAAGCAGGAGCAGAAGACCCTTCCTTTCCTGAATAAAGATTAAGGGCTTCAGGAGAAGACAGGTTTCTTCTTGCTTGTCCTACGAGAGGTTGTATTTAGTCCATGGGAAGAGATGTAAATGAATTATATGCTTGGGATTTGAAGATTCCATGTGCCATATGTTAAAAAGGAGCCCTGGGATATGGCACAGAATCCCTGTGTCTTGTTTTCAATTACTAAGTGGTGTGGAGGGGACACACACAAACACATCAAAAATTATTAAGAATTGCTTTGGTTGACTGCTTGGCTATAACCATAGACAATTCTTAAGCTCCTTGTAATTTCATTTATATTTTGATTCACCTGGTCAAATGTGGACTGAGTGTATTTCCCCTGTAAGGTCAGAATGTACCCTGGTTATGTTTAAAATAGCTTCCCTGTCTAATTATGGCAATGGATCCACAACTACTTTGTCCCTCAAATTTGGAATGAATTTAAGGAAACAAACTTTAAGACTGAAAGGTATTATTTCTCGTGAAGTGGGAGATGTCAGAAATCCTTTTTCATCACAATTGGATACATTCTGTGCATGATGTCTTGACTGTCTCCCCAAGTAAAACCCCAAAAAAGCTTCATTTGAGCTCCAGTGAAAAACTGCTTGCAGAGAACTTGGGAATCTGAGGAATATAGCTTCTTCTAGATTTATTTGTTGTATTTGCAACATCCTTTTTTGCTGTAGAAATGAGGGATGGCATAAATCACAGCTTTTTGGTTGGAAACAATTTGCAATATAATTTGGATTTAACATTGTATTCCAGTGTTGCCTCCAATACTGACACACACAGTAGTTTCTGAAGGAAAGATGGAGTTTACAGAATATAGGTAGGCTCTTAAATGTTTGTTTTTACTGAAGGTATCAATATGGTTTTGTGTATGGTGTTCACTTTTGTGATTAGTGCCTTGTTTCAGTATGACTACCTGTGGTTTTTAGTAAGTGATTAGAAATTGAATTGATGATTGTATGTGGTGTGACATTAAATTGTGGCTAAAAAAAAAAAGGAAAAGACACGGTGATGAAATTGAACCCTAAAACCAAGTTTCTGTTGAAACTTGAGAGCTATTCTGCTGTAAGCAATTGGGTAGGACAATGCTGATGGATCCATTGAGAGGAGGTTAATGCTGAGTTACCAGTGTGATTCTCAGGTGAGTGTGGAATTGTTTTCAGTGCAGCAAGAAGAGCTTAGTGCTGTTACATACAGCTGTAAAATCTTACCTGGAATGCTGCATACAAGCCCATCCACTCATAACTGAGAAACACAAATTGGAACTATAGCAAATACAAACAAGGCTGGATGTTTTTTTTCCTAATACAAAAATATCCTGGAACAAACAACAATATGAGGAATAAGAACCCAGGGTTGTAGTGTTGACAGGATAGTGGATCCTATTCTTCAGCTATCATAGACTACACATTCCTTTTCCCCAGCTTAACTGAGTTCCACTCTAAAAATAGTTGGGATGCTGACTTGAACTGTTTCCTTCAGAAAGCTATTCAGAATGCATGGTTAGAAACAGTTCAGGATCAGAGATTTCACTGAGTGTAAATTGAGACTGCAGTAATATTTCTGAGTTTGCTGTTTAACTTGTTTTGGTCTGTATGAAGGACTTTTAATCTGAGTTCTTTTTAAAGATCATAAAGCTTTTGCTTACTAGAATTTATTTATTTTCTTGCCAATAATTTCAAAATTTTGTGAATTTTCAGTAATAAACAGCTTTATCAAACATTTACCAAATTGTTCTCTAATCTGACAGAAGTAGAGGGAAAATTACACCAGGATGTAGGGTTACCCCTTATTGCTGGGTTGCAGAGTAGCTGTTATCTAAAACCAGAAATCCAGCATTTGACAGTTTGTGTTACTGGGCAGCTTTTGTCTGCTCTGCCCTCAAAATACCTCAGTTATCTCAGTGGTACCTTTTAATTGCAGACTCACATTTTCATTGTAACCTTGCTATCACGGATAGAATAAAGGTCATATGTTCTATTTGAAGGTGTAAACAAGATTGCAGTAATTTTTATTCTTGTTTTAAATAAAATTAAACTAAAAATGATCTTGACTGTATTTTTCTTTTACATAGGTTACACTGTGTTATTTGCATCTAACAGATTTTTAAAGAATTCACTTACCCTGTTTATGTGATACCTGATTTTCAAAAGTGGGTGCCTAAAATTAGATAGATGTCTCTAGCTGTAGCCTTGATCTAGTTTTCAGAGGAACTGGAAGCTTAGAGAAGGATTCTCTTTCAGCACTGGTGTTGCATTTTCCAATACTGACAGGACAAGCTGTGTCAGAGTACTCTGAAAAACCAAGGTTGTTCTCAGTTTGTTTTGTTCTTCCTGTTTCAAAAATATACCAACTTTTTTTTATTAAATCTTAATAACATTCTTTAGAATTACTTATTTGAAGGACTGAATTCTTTATCAAAACTTTCTCTTCTTTGACGAATTAAGAAAGTTGGAGAGGTAAGCTCTATTCAGATTAAAGACCAGAATTCAGAGATCTAGTTATGAAATCTCATTTTCAGTGCCTGTATTTTGGGTGTTGCTGCTGTGTGTTTCCTGCACAGAGAATGAGCTGGGCTGCCACTTTCAGAGCACTGTTGTACTTCTGGGAGGCACCTGGAAGTCACCCAAATGCCATACCCATGTCATACTTGGTTATGCTTGGTTTTTTAAAATCTGAAATGTCTGACTACATCAGAAAAATAACCCTTTCAGTTTAGAAAAATATAACCCTTTCATTTCTTAGAAAGTCTGTCTTTCATGAGTACATTTTTCTCCACTGTGATTTGCTGATTTGGATGCAGTATTGTTATTTGGATGCAGATTCATCAGGGCTATTGTCACTACCTTCACTTTCATTTTTCCCTTCCTCTTAGGATAGCCTTTCTGCTCTTGATTTTTTTAAGACAGTGAGTCTTAAAGGCAACAAATCTAAAAATGATAGCTTAAAGAAACAGGTCAGCTATTGTCCAGTGAATAAAATTTCCAAAACCGAATGGCATGCTTTCTTCTTGTTGCATTTCTGACTGACTCATGTTTTAATAGGTGTAGGCACCCAGGATTAAGGAAGCAGTGTTGAGCCACTGATGTCTCATTCAGGAGCAAATAAAATGTGTGGGTTTGTTTTTGTTTTTTTACCTTGCAAAGGTTTGGAGGATTAAAACTTTCCTGCTGTTCAATTTCTTTCCTGTAAGATTTCCAGCATTTTTGTAGGTGTTTTGGTCTTATCTTTATTGTATTGTAGTTGTAGTGCTAAATCTTATAAACAATTTGATCTGAGGCACTGTGGGCTGAAGGTGCATCTGACCTAAATAAACCACCAACCTTATGAGAAGGGAAGTCCTTGGCTTCTGACTGTGAAGGAAACATTGTGCTTGATGAGCTCATGCTTGGACATCCACTGTAGGCATGAGACTCTCTTGTGTGTGTTGTCACCTGGAATTTGTTTGATTCAAGACAGGATGCAAATAGTAAACATGTTTGTTTCTTTCCACATATGTTGACGAAATAGATCCTCAAGAGCCCATTATATAAATTACAATTACCCCTAAGGTACATGTAAAGGGGTTCCAAAGCCTGATAACTTTTACAAATCAAGTGGATTCAAACTTCAAAAGCAGCCTAGCCCACTCCACTCACCCCTCCCTCAAAATCACACTGTGAATAAGGCTTTTATCGTAATTTTAGAGTAGAACTTGCTGACCATATAATTGGTGCAATAACTATTACTCTAATCAAGCTGTTTTAATAGGTTTCATTTTCTGTTAATAAGATATAAAACATAACAGTCTTGAAATTTACAAAAAATATGTTCCTGTTGATCTGCATTCAATTTTAAATTGTTGAGACTAGATTTACTGCTTATTATAATCCAGACATTTCTTCATGACCTAATAAATGTAATTTTTTTTTTCCAGATTTGTTTTCTCCTATTTGCTGTCCTCTATATAGTTTCCTACTTTATAATCACAAGATACAAAAGGAAAGCAGGTAAGCATAAAATTTTTAATATGTCAAAAAAAAATTTTTCAAATAAATAGAGGATTCTTTTCCTGTCCATCTCCATGGAGGTAGAGGAAGGTAGAAGCAACAAAACTGTTTGCTAGGCTACTGGTCTATGGCAGCCGGGATTGAACTGGTTGTGTATGGCAGACTAAGAGTTAACTGTTTTGAGATGGAAGAAAGGGGTTAATGTCAAAGTAGATGCTTCTGCCTCCCTTGCCTTGAGATCCTGTTCTCCTTTCACATCAGCTTTTCCAGAGCAAGTATCTTCAGCTGTGTTTTAGCAGCAAAATCATGTTCTGAGCTTCTGCAAGTAAAGTGAAAGGTTGCCAGTGCTACAGAAAGGATCTAGCAGTATTTGTTCAAAAAGTCCTGCTCTGATCAGGTACAGTTATTATCTCAGTTGTCTGAACCTGGTTCTTATGACTTCACCACTCAAGTTTAGAAAATACCTTGACGTAATACTCTGCTTTTTTTCCCTTTGGAAACATTGTCTAGTTTCCATTTTAAAACTAGTCTGCAGGAAGCCCTGTCATTTTCTTCAGTATTTTTTCTGAAGACAAATAGCATAAAAATCAGTATAAAATTGCAGAGTCTTTGACTCTTGACAGCTTATCTGGGACATTGGTGCTTGAAATAGGCTGTAGAAACATTCTTGTGTATGCTCATCTTGGTGAACTTACTGGAAACTGTTTATTAAGTGACCTGTGTTATGATAGAGCTGCTTTCATGGATGGATTCATTTACTTTTAAAACTTTTCATGGAATTTAATTCCTTGAAAGAAGGTACATCTCTGTAAACACAGGAAGTAAGACAGATACTATCTTCTGATCCTGGTACGTAATTTGGACATTACAAAGCTGCTGCCATTTGGAGATGGAGAAGATCAGGAAGGGGAAACTGGTTTGGCAAACACTGTTAGATGCAAAGACACTTTTATTACCTTTTGTTGGCAGTTTATCTTCTTAGCCAGGAAGGGGAACTGCTCTGCAGCTGGCCTGACTTTATGAAAGCTTTGTGAGCAGATACTTAGGCACACTTTGTAGCCTGCTACGATCTTCCTGATGAGAAATGTTTGAAGAGTTAACACATCTGGAAGTCTTTGAGGACAAAATGTTCACTGCTTTTCCAAGAAGCTTTTTAGCCAAAATGATTCATAAGAGACCTTGACGTAGTCTTTCTAAACCATGAGGTATCCATCCAAAAAACAACAACTCTGGGTCCTTTCACAGAAGAATTTCAAAATAGCATGAGGTTATTGGCTATGTGTTTATTTCAACTGCGTGCATGACTCTCAGGAGCTTAAATCAAATTTATTTTAAAATTTAAGAATAAAGGCAGGTGTTCTATCTCCTATGGAAAATAGGAAAAGCTTTAGAATGCTGAGTGTAAAATTATTTCAAATTCAGAAATTTTTATTTCAAAATGCCTACATTATTTCACATTTAGAAACACTTAATTTGTGTACTGATTTGCATAGAGAAGGGTGTAAAGAGTAAATGAAAGATGTTAGTGATTCATCTGAGTTAAATGTTGATACTGTTTCAAAAAGATTGTTTCAGTGAAGTATTAAGTGAGGAGTAAGTGAATAAATATGGTCTAAAATCTGAAGTACCAGAAGGAAGTAATGGTATCTTAAATCCAAAACAAGTAAAAAGAATATAACCACCTCTCTTCCTTCACCGTCCCCCGGATCCCCAGGAGCTGGGAAGAGGGGTAAGTAAAGGGAAGCAACTGAGCAGTCATCACTATTGGTCTGGGTATGCTTTCTTGTTTTAAAAAGACATTTATACTGCAAATGATTTCTAGCAGTAGTTAGTATGGACTTGTAGACTTTCCTGTAGCTTTCCCGCTCTCTGTGGTTCCAGAGATGCCCAAAGGGGCAGTTTCTAGCAGTAGCTGTGGCCGTAGTAGTCTGAAAGCATGTTTGCCATAGAGCCTTCTGGAAGAGGTCTCCAAGAAGTTTTGATCTGCATATTTAAGTAAAATGAAATAACTTTGTTGTTACATTGATTGAAAAGAGTTTGACTAATGAGAAAACAGGGTGAGAGCATTCATTTTCAGAAGGAGCCTTCTTAAAATATTTATGCTTATAAATTGTATCAATATGTCTGAATTTTAATTGTACATTAAAATTATTCCTATCTATATATACATTTTAGCCTGAAGTAAAGTGATAAAATACAAGTGAGTATTGAATATAACCTGATGTAATTTAATTTTCAGATGAGCAAGAGGATGAAGATGCCATCGTTAACAGAATATCGTATGTATAGCTCTTCTTGGCAGAACTTCTTTTCCTGAATGTACTGTTGTGATAGGAATTTTCTGTGCTTCCAAATAAATAAGAATCTATTTGAAATATTTAAATGTATTACTAATAGATTGCTAGAGGGTCAGGGAAAAAATTTGGTCTAGTGAGTTATGAAAATAGTTATGAAAGTTTGGTCTAGGCCTTTTTTTCTCCTGTAGTTCTGCTGGTAGGTATGAAGTTGGCCAGAATGTTGCATGAGGACCTGATGCAAGAGTGAATTGAGTGCAAGACCTGCATTTAGGTCTCTGAAACAAAGGTGTTTAGTTGGGAGGTATTGTAAGTTGCCACAGCAGTTAATGGAAGGCCTGTGAAGGGAGGCAGTGGATCCTGCAAAGCAAGTTAGCTCTCTCTGCAGAAGATACCTTTGATCATTGTAGAAAGCTGCAGGAAGTAACAGGTGGAAGACAAGCACTTGCCAGACCTACTGGTCTGCCAAGCAACTCCTTATCCTCTTCCTGTGTAAAGTTAGATATGAGTATCTCCTATTTGAATATGCATCAGGATGTGCAGAGCCTCCGTGGCTGTTGCTGCCCTCTCAATCACATGTTGGCTGAACCATGTTACATTGTTCTTGCCTCTTCCCTGGTGGTGCTGGCATCCCCTTGGGAGGAAAGCTTGGAGAAAAGTGTTGTTGTAAATATAAAATGTTCTTCTTTCTCTCAGCCTAAGCTTCTTTAAATGTGCATGTTATTTTCCTAAAAGCAATAACTCTAAAACATATGTAAATAGATTTTTCTTTACATGGCATAATTGTCAGAAGTTGAGGTGTGGAGGGATGAGAAAACAAAGCCAAAGTGCTGTAGCACTTTGCTGTAGTTTAGGTTTCCCAGTTCTGGCTTAGAATACTTAAACATCCTTAAATAAAAGAAAAAATCTAAGAAGCCAACAACAGTAACATGAGACTATTTTAAAAGTTAAAATTAGTTACTTATACTTTTCTAAGCATTGTATGAATGAAAAATGTATTTGTGGACTAATAAAGAAAAGTAAGATTTCTGTAAGCAGCTTACAGATGTTTCTGTTGTAGGGATGTTCTATTTAGTTTGTCATGAAATTTTGAATTGAGAATTATGTCTAATTTTATTATAGCATTAGATTCTGTAAGAAGGCTTTGTTGATCTTTATATTTTTTAAGGACACAGTTCTTTTTAATGCCACAAGATGGCATTTGGTATAAATTGTATTTGGGATCTAAAAAGAATAAGCTTAAATATTTGAAACACATCTGACAATAGTGAATTTACATCTGAGATGATAACTTGAATAACTCCTTTGTGAAAAAAACCAACTTATATTTTAATTTTGGTGTTCAAATATTTATGTACAATTGCACTCAGTCTTTAGTTGTTAGAACGTTGCTCTGACTTAAAAAATTGTACTAAGAATATAGAAATTGAATCTTTTCTTGTTTATGTGTCTATGTGAGAAATGAAAACTGACAGAGGGGTCTTATGAAGAGATATTTAATGAGCTTCAGTAGTTTAACCTTTGTATTACAATGGAATTGAATGCTTACATTTTGCAAGAGAATAATCACAGTAGTTGATAAAAACAAATCATTTGTACAGGGTACTGTAAACTGTTTTAAATTTGCTTTTTGGAAGTTACATGTTTTGGAAATCCCAGTTTCTCCTGCCCATTTACAATGTAAGAATGTGTTGCCTTTAGACATTGATTAACAGGTAGTTTAATTACTTTTTCCCCTGCTGTTCAGAGCATGTTGGTGGTAACAGTGGTACATTTCTTTAAATTTCAGGCTGTTCTTGAGCACCTTCACTCTAGCAGTTTCAGCTGGTGCAGTCCTGCTTCTACCTTTCTCAATAATCAGCAATGAGATCCTGCTTTCTTTTCCACAAAACTACTATATTCAGTGGTTAAATGGCTCACTAATTCATGGTTAGTACTCAGCATAATGTAATTAAAATGGATGTCTTCATTATATGTGCACAGATACGTTCTTTTTTTTCAAACTGATAACTCATTTTCATTTAATATGCTAATTGTTAATGTGCTGTTGGCTAGTTGGTTTTGCTGCTGTGTGATATATCACAAAAGTCTATCTTAACTGTTCTGTTCTTTTAAGAATTTTGCAGACTTGATGGAATTAAACCAAATTCACTGCTTCAAATATTAATATAAATAAGAGCTACTAGAAGCTAACTTGAAACATTCACACTTCTTTATGTTAATGCAAGATTTATATGTCTTTATGATGACACCTATAAATTTATTCTCAAAATCAAAACATGTTTTAAGTAACTTGCTAGCTGTGGGCAGCTTGGACTAGATAGTTAAATTCAGGTGTTAGTGATTTATGTGCAAACAAGGAAAATTGTGGAACGTAAGTATTGTGATAAAGATGTGCAGTAAAATAACTGGTGGAAACAGGACATTTTTTTCTGGGTTTGTCTGCAGAAAGTATGTTCACTATGTGAAACTTTAATCTGGTACAAATAGTTTACAGGTTAACTGTGGCATCCTCTTTAGTCTTGTGAAGAGAGAGCAATTTGGCTTTGGAGGATTTTTCTCTGAAAACTTCATGTTTTTTGCTAAATGTCTAATAATTTTCACACATAAATTCATGAATTTCCAGATCCCTGACTTGCAAGGTTTTTTTTTGTTTGTTTGTTTGGGCTTTTGCTGTTGTTCCTTTTTTTTTTTTTGGTGAAGTGAGGGGTGAGAAGTGATGTTTGTAGGACATAAAGGAGTATTCTTCACAGCTGAGATGGTTGAACAATGAGAAAGGTTGTCTAAAGACACTGGGAGATCTTGAAAGTTTTCCAAAAGTCAGGTGGCCAAAGCCCTGAGCAGCCGGGTGGCACCTGCAGTTTGGCTTTTTAAGGGCGGATCAGATTGTGACTTTACAGGCTCTCTCTAGTTGAGTTGTTTTGTGATGTGTTTTGTGACATGTCATGGGGAATTGCTAATTTGGTATGTCTTCTACATGGGAGGGAAAAAAAGCCAGGCTAAATCAATTTTTCACACATATTTAGCTACTCAGAGATTTTTATTCTTTACTCCCAAAAATGAGAAAAAAATTATTGGAAGAGAATCCTTCCTTCTGTGTCTGAATTGTCTTTGGAAAAAGGGCAATAAAATCCATCAGAGACTGAAAATTATGTAACAACCAGTTCAGAAATTTTTACTGTCGCTTGCTGCTTCAAAAGTTTTATTAGTAAGAGATCTGCTGTAATAGTTGCTATTAAATAGGAAAGCCTTTGAATTTGCAAGTGACCAACTTCTAATGTGATGATGTTTGAAAACAGCACTTCATGGATGCACAGTATAGTTTATATTTCCCAAGTGCAGCGCAGCGATGTGGTGTTTGCAGGGTGTGCCTGGCCAGGGGAAGGAGCCGCGGTGAGCATGGGGCAGCTGCAGGCGGGGTTTGGCTCCGAGCCGGTCCCTGGGCCGAGCGCGCCCCCTCGTGGCTCTCGCCGGGATCGCCCCGCCCGGGGAATCCTTCCCGTTCCCGGGGAAACCCGCGTGGCTTTGAGAGCTCACAGCACCCGAGCTCAGACAGGCGCAAAAACCCAATTATTCTTTTTATATTGCACTTAACTTTAAGTCCTGCAAAGTGCCATGTGTTAAAGCTCAGAGAGACTGGGTTGGTCTCGGAGCCCCGCAATACTACTGCCCTTCACCTATGGGCTGTGTACTGCTTCGCAAACGTTGTCAAAACGCTTTGTGTTGCTTTAAAACGCTTCATTTTTATTAGATTTATGATTGACTGCTGTCATCTGATGTATTTGAACCTGACACTGAGGGGTTTTATTCTGTAGATTGTCGCATTACATCTGGAAAATAAAAAAGCAGAAAATAAATGCCTCAGATTTTTGAAACTAGGCAGAAAGGCCAAACCTGGATCCAGTATAAACACTTATCTAATTAATACATGCTGAACTAATCCACAACTAGTTCTGACAGCGGTGTTCCCTTGTGCTGCTTTTGGGTACAACCACCAGGTGGGGGTAAAACGTAATAAAACTGCCACAAATAAGAAAAATGGGAAATTGCTCGGGGTCTAATCTGTTTGCCAAAGATTAAGAAATTTTTAAGTTTTATGTTTTATTAACTTGTTTTATGGGGAACAGTCTTAGGTCACTACAAATGCAAAGGAAAAAAATCTAATTGACTGCTTAAAGCTTTTCTATAGGTTGATGTCTGCAAGTGTCTTAGGCAATTTTATGATGCAGTCAGTAAAGTTGAAAATAATTATTTTTTTTGGTCTATTTTAATTTGATTTCTGAGCTATCAAATTAGGATAAAAAATAGAGAAAATCGTTACTTTGAGGAAAGTGCATGTGTCTGTCAGCAGCAGAACAGTACTGTCCTTGCCACTCCTAACTTTATGTGCATATTGTAGCTCTGTAGTTTAATATTCTGTAAATGTGGTTCCTATATGCTACTAATATGTAAATTTCTGGATTGCAACTTTTTAATCATCCTGGTTGTGCACCAGTCTCCCCTCCCTTAAAATGCTCCGTGTACTCTGCAGCTCCTAAGCACTGTTTTATGTTGTAAGATACTCATATAATAGAGCTGCTGAAATTAGGACAAGGTATTCAAATTTGCATTAGGTAACTGAATGCACTGTCTTCAGCTGGAGAAAACTGCTGAAATAAGACTCCTACCCCCATCAAGTTGTATTTCTAGTCTTCCTCTGGTGTCTTTTTTTGGGGGAAAGAAAAAAAGTGCAGACTGCTGGAGTTAATGTCCCCTTGTAAGGGCTGTTAATGACATTCCTGCTGATGTTGCTATGCCTGAATGTTTCTTGAATGGTAACAGGAGCTTCCTGGCAAAGCAAATTCAAAAGGAAAAATCCCCCTCTTTGTTAAGTGGAGTTTAGCCACCTTTAGGCAGTCTGTTTTCTTTAGCAAATGAGTGTTATATTTCACGCATCTTTTGGAATTTTCTTGTTTTGTTTTCTGTAGCCTATTTGGCTGAGTTTGGTTGCTGGTGTCTTGCTGCTGTCAACTGCTAAAGTTCTCTTGGCCCCCTGTCCCCCTCCTCCCCTCTAGCTCTTATTGCTCCTTCAAATTTGAATGCTGTCATTTAAGCGAAAAGGAAGTATATGGTAGAAGCATTTTTGAGAGGGTGTAGGCAAAAATCACTGTCAACTTTTTACATTTGGATCTAATGCAGAAATTCCTCGTGATAATGAATACCCTGGACATCCAGTAAATGTCTTTTTCCTCCCCAGTTCTTTACAAGATGGCCAGTTTCAAAGAGGAAAAGAAGCCTGTACATGGGAAGGAAGGAAGGAAGAAGGAAGCAAACAAAGCTGTCACATTTTTTTATCATGGGGGAATAATAATTTGAGTGATATTCAGGTGCTGTAACACAGTCCTGCAGATTTATGGAAATGTGTGTGCTTTGGTGAAGGTGGGGAAAGAAACTGCAGACTTTTTTTTTTTTAGGATGCTGAACATGTGATGGTAGTTAGACCTGTTAGCTGCTAAATTGCAGATAAGCTGCTGCTTTTATAGAGAAGAAACCCTGCATCCTGCACAACTTCTGATTGCATGATTGATGATGGGTTCATGTTTAGGCACCAGAAACTGGCTGTTCAGTAAGTGTTCAGCTTAGAAAGTCTTAATAGAGCAGATATCCTAATAGAGATTAGTTATCACTTCAGGTTGTTTTCCAAATGCTTTCTCTTCCTGCAGATGTCATATGTGTCTTACAGATGTCCTTGTTGTAGGCTGTTACTGATTTTGCACATAGATGACAGAATGGTTAAGTTTGAAAAGACCTCTGAAATGAACCTGCTCCAAGCAGGGTCTGTCAGAAAAGGCTGCTCAAGGCACTCCCCTCTTAGGTTTGTATGTTGAAGGATGGACACTACAAAATCTGTGGGCAGCCTTTTGTACTGCTTGAGTACAGTGGCAGTGGAAAGTGTTTGGGATTTTTAGTTTGGTTTATCTTTTCTCTCCTTTTATGATTAAATAGATTTTCCAGTTTTTCAATTAATGTTCATTGCCTCTCCTCAATTCAGTGGAAACCACTCTGATGATCTGACTGTTTTCCTTTCTTCCTCCCTCATCAGATATTTATATATATGGATAAAATCTCCTTAAGTCTTCTCTCCTCTGCTCTCTGTCCATTTGTCCAGCCTGTTGAGGTTCATCAGAGTTGCAGGACACTGCTGCTCCCCATTTTGTCTCTTGAGCAGATTTGCTGGGGATGTGCCCTCCCCCCTCCCACAGGTCACTAATGAGGGTGTTTAACCCCACATCAGCCCCCTGGGGTGGCAAACTGCTGGTGACACAACCCTGGGAGCCCAGAAGCTCAGCCGGTGTTCACTCTGCCTTAGAGTCCACTTACCTTGCCCATACCTGATTAATTAAGCTATGAGGGGGTTCATGGGAGATGATGTTGAAAGCCTTATAAAGTGGAGATAAAAATATCTGCTGCTGTCCTCTTTCCTACTGAACCAGTCAGCCCATTGTGGAAAGCTTCTGTTACCATGATATCTTCTGATTTGGAGGTGATGATGGCATTTGTGTACTGCTCATGTTAAAATCCATGGTTTGCTTGAAAAAATATGGGAGAAAGAGAGTATACAGAACTGGATTTTGTGAGATTCACTGAGAGTAGTAAAATACTTTTGTCCTGAGAAATTCTACAGTGGTTCTCTAAAGAGCCTTCAATGAGATTGTGGAAGTAGTACACCTGAGCTTGCAGTCTGTCTCCCAAGGTTTCAGACTTTGGCTGTTGAAAGGTAAGTGGTATCTAGGTTTTGTTTGAAGATCATTATGCAGAGAAATGAATGTTTTTCAGCAGTGACCTGTAAATAACTATATCCATAACCCAATGGCACTTGTTGTGTCAGTATTACATTGCTACATGTAAGGGAGGAAAATATAATATATTTAACTGTGAAACTTATAATTTAAATTTCTTCTTGTTTGTTGCAGGTTTGTGGAATCTTGCCTCCCTTTTTTCAAATCTATGTTTGTTTGTGTTAATGCCCTTTGCATTTTTCTTCCTGGAGTCAGAAGGATTTGCTGGCTTAAAAAAGGTAGGAAAACACAATTAAATAGAGAATAATTGCAGTGTACATTTAATTTTCAGCCCTTGTTTCTGATAAAACTGAAATTACATATTGGGGACCATTTGGTGTTGGCGTGTGTGTGTTTATGTGAAGGTGTGTATACAGCTGCACGCTCTGGCACAGGCCAGGCATACAGGGGAAAAAGGATGCCTTAAAAGCCATGTGTACTGAACTAAAGAAGACTACTCTTTTTCTTTAAATGAAATGATTCAATCAAGATTTTATTTTTTGGAAGATGATTCTGTTGGGATGTCAAAAGGAGAGAAGCTTCAAGAAATGCACTAGAAATAAAATAACAAGGAAAAGGACAGGTTTCTTGATAATGGGGAAGATTATTAAATAAGATAACACTGAGGAAACAAGCTTGATTTGTGAATTTTAAGGATTAGACATTTCCAAAAAGGTTAAAATATGGTCAGTAATAACAGTAATATGTTAAAAAAAGTCTTAAAATATTCAATTTAGTTGAATATATTCAGGTTGAAAGGGCTGAGTGTTTCAGTGAAGCAGGGAATTTGGCAAAGCAATTTTTGAACAAAAGATGATGATGATTGTATTAACACGTGAACTAAAGAAATACAGTGAAAAATTACTATAATGGGAGGCACATCAAAATTAATTTCAAATCATAAATATCAAATAGATTGAACACTAATGACTGTCTGGGGACCAGTTGTAGCACTTTTCCATTAATCTTTATCATCGAAATGATTACATTTTTGTTTTTAATGATACTTCACTTGAGGGAGTTCTGCTCCCTTCAGATGACAATTGTTAGAAAGCAAAGGGTCTTGGAAAGTGATCTTGAAATCTGGAGAATTAAAATGAATTAAAAATGAATGCAAAAAACTGAGTCATTGAAGCATGGCGTGTAACATAAAGCCACAAGGAGATAATTGTTTGGAAGGAAAACGTCATTATTCCTGGTTGCATTGACAGGAATTGGCATGAAGGCAGCGAAGTTGCCATTTTTGTTATTGGTGGGATTAGGGAAAACTCATTTGAGTTGCTGTGTTCAAGTTGAGTGTTTAACTCTTCCATCTAGGCTGGAGAACACTTCCTGTTCTTCTTCATTCACTTCAGGTATCTACAGGGCTGAGAGCTTTTAACAACTCTGTTCTTCTAGTTTTGATGTGGAGGCCACTCCATTTCCCTTTTGACACTTAAGTATCTAGCCACAGCTAATATTTGTATTTTCTTCTAAAAGATATGTTAACTGATTTCAGTGGGATTTGTGCTTGCTCAATCCAACAAAGCTAAGGATTCTCTCCATTAGCATACTGGGTAAAGTACTTCTGCTGGTGGAGCTCTGCTGGCTCCAACACATGCTTTGTATATCTCAGACACATGAAACTTGTGCTTTATGTGAAACTTTTGATAGTTAACGTGTAACTTTCTTATGGTATTGGCTATCAATAAATCCTATTTGAGATAAATCGGATCACCACTGCACGTTTATGCTTGAAAGCATTTGTGAGATGAGATGGATAAGATAGAGTCTCCATCTTCTGCAGATTCCAAGGAAAAGATGATTGTTGGTGCTTTAGAGTTAGCTTTGTCATGGGGGCAGATGGAATCAGATTTTGGTATCGAAACCCACATACTGAAAGGGAGGAAATTTTGGGGGGTTTTTATTTTTCTTTTTTTTTTTTTTTTTTTACTTTGAGTTCTGGATGTTTTTGGAACATCCTAGAAGCCAAGTGTGATTCCTGGTACAAATACTCTAGGCCTTTATGCAGTATCTGTTCTACCTCACTGCTCTGTTTAAAATTATCCGAAATGGATCGAATTGTTTTGCTGGTTTGGAGTGAGTCTTAAAGCTGCTGGTCAACATTCAGGAATTGTTGGATGTTGTAATGTGACCATACCTTGTCTTTGATTGTTTTTTTGGAAAGTAAGTGGCAGATAGCACTTCAGGACTAAGGTGATAGTTAAAATTGAATGTGCTGTTCTTTTCAGATGCTGGTGTAGAAAAAGGATTCTGCTTGTAATAATTGCTATATATGTTTTAAAGAATTACATCACATAATTGGGTGATTAGAATCTGGGAAAATTTGTGATTAATCAAATTCATGATTGCATGTAAGGTTTTCAGTTCTACCATCTGCAAAGGAAGAGTATTTCCCATAAATTTTTACTTCCTGTAGATTTTTGTCATGTTTCTCACCTCTTTTCCAAGAAGATTTTGAGACCATGATTACTTTGTAGAATTTTAGAATTTGAACAAATTAATTTTTGTAGGTTTTTTAAAAAAGTCATATTTTGTCATTCATCAAATCAACTAATGGACCAGAGAGATAAAACATTGGTCAAATGCTATTACTGTGCACTGGAAAAATCAGATTTTAGTGATCTCAATTTAAAAGAACATTTCATACATTTGGCAAAACTTGTAGCATTTAAGAGAAGAATGATCTACTGTAAATGTGAAGACATTCAGTAAAGAGGTTTGGCATGGATCTTTAATCTTCCAGTTGGGAGTTGGGAAAGCAGTTGATTCTAGATACCCAGTTCAAATTAAAATTTGGATAAAGAGACTGTTCCAGTGGAAGCTTTTATGTAGGTCATTTTGTCATTGAATTACCTTCATCATAATGACTAAATGGGTCACTTGGGACGTAGGTGTGTGCAGTGAAGATGTCTATTTGGAGGTCTTCATATATGAATTACTTGTTGGACTTTAATAAAACTTCTAAAAATGCATAATTAAAAGAGGTTCATTCCTGAAATTGAAATTATTTTTTTATTTCTTAATGGATGTCTTTGTTCAGATTAAATAGCAATAGTAAATTTAGTCATTATCATCACTATGGGTCTGACTCCTGAGGATTTTAGGCATCCATTTGTTTACCACAGACTGTGCTATAGAAGTTTATTTTATGTATTGAATGTAATGTGATTTTTTTTTTCTTTTTTTCATGCTCTGATATTTCAGATAGCTCACAAATTACTGTTGTGAGCTTTGTATGACTTTTCATTCCATGTTCCTGAATGGCAGCGTTGCTCCTTTAACTGTTCTGAATCACAACAGGTTTGATTAACCATCTTCCAGTTTCCTATGGCCCTTTTCCCTGGCTGCTGGTGTACTTTCTAAACGGCACATGGCCTTTTAGAGACTCACTTGGCTTCCCCAGGGCAGCAGTTTAAAACAACCAAGGGCTTGCAAATTGTGCAGAGGAGAGAAATAGGGAAATGAGTCACTGGACATGAATGTCCAGTGCTGCACTGAAATTCAGACTGATTATTTGCTAGTTTTTCATGAAATCCACTGTGTGAATTCAGAAAGGATATTTTGGGCCTGAGGGGGCTGATCATGCCCTTCTAAAGAGCTTAAATGCTGCTCTTTGCTCTTGGTTGTTTCCATTGAATAGCACTTAAACAATTCTGATGTCAGGATAATAATAATAATGATAATCCAGCCGATTCTGGAGGTGTATAATATACGTATCTTTATATATGTATGTCTTTGTGTATCTGCCATTATGTATGCACACATGTATTTTTGTGTGCACATGTGAATTGGATTTTTCAAGACTTCCAATCGTAATACCTTGCAACTTGGCCACTGCTGTTAACGGAGCTCTTGGTGTACCTAATATCACTTTAATCACTTGCCATCAGTATTAAAAACTGCTTTACATTTTTCTCTGTTCTTCCTGTCTTTCTTTGTAGAGACTGTGCATAGTTACATTTCTTGTTTAGATTATCTTTTAGCTCCTTGTCACTGATCTGCTCAGATTGTAGTTATGAAACAAAGTTGTCAACAGTGTTTCTTAATGTCAGAATTAACCTCACTCTTTATCATTCTCTCCAAAAAATAAAAATTGTGCTGTTTGCAGCTGAGTAGGTCACAGTGCTGATGTTTCCATGCGTGGTAACAGACTGCACAGAAATTACATGTGTGCTCCTGTGTGAAGGAGGCAAACATTTTCAAGGAGATAATTGCTATACCTTTTCTTGACCTTTAAAATATGACCTTTCTCTTGATGTAACTTCAATGGAAATTTGTATTTATTTGAAGTTGACAGAGAAGGACGTTTTGGAGTAATTTCCTGGTAAGAAAATACAGATACTACAATTTACTACTGTGAGAAACTGGAAAAACTAGGTATTGCATAATCACAAGTGTAGAGTTTTAAAAAGGCTGTATGAAGTATATTACCTTAATACTGATCTTTGAACTTGTAGTCATAGCATAAAGTTTAACATGAGCGACAGCAACATCCTGACCAATTATCCAAATTATCCAGACATCCCAAAATGTTCAGAACACAACACACAGAGTCTGTGGATTAAGAGGTTAACTCCTGGGACATCAAAGGAAGTGCATGATAATAAAAACAAATAGTACAAAAATTTGAGGTAACTTCCTTGCTTAATTAATTAGGTAGACCAGGTGGAAGCGAAGAGGCCAGAGCTGGTGCTCAGAATGTCTATAAAGCTGAGCAACATGACAGCACAATGGAGGAGGAACAAAGATTTTTTTAATATACTTCTATCCTGTGTCACAGTTTGAAATTGTCCTGGTTTATGTCCCTTTTGGCAAACTTACATAAAAGTGACCCTGTACTGTATTTTATGACCAGATGACTTTTTTCCCCAGTGGCTAATTTGTATCAGACCCCCATCTTAAAGAGACACAGAAATGAGTAGGAAGTCCAAGCCGGTTTGTCTCAATGAGCTTTCATTGCATGCTTTCATTATTTTTGCTCGTTTTTGCCACTGATCATCCATAAATTGTTGGAAATGAGTGATTAAGGAAGTGCTGCTTAGTGTTAGTGGCACATGCACATTCTTGGTATGTTTTTTGTGGGTGAGAGGAAATCGTGTACTGCACAAACAAGAAGGAAAACTCCTGCTGGGAACCTTTCAAGGAAATTTAACTTGCGTAATGTTTTGATCTTAGTGTTTATTACAGAAAATAAGAGTAATATTTCACCAGCTATTGTTATGTGTCAGCTAGTCTCTCCATCTGC